GTGTGCGATGGATTTGTGTGGGTGTGTGATGGGTGTGTGTGATGGGTCTGTGCGGTGGGTTTGTGGGTGTGCAGTGGGCTTGTGCATGTGTGCAACGGGCTTGTCCATGTGCAATGGGTCTGTGGGTGTGTGATGGGTCTGTGCAATGGGTCTGTGGGTGTGTGATGGCTCTGTGGGTGTGCAACGGATCTGTGCAGGTGTGTGATGGGTTTAAGGAGTCTCAGTCAGATCTGGGGCTTTGGGATGGCAACGAAGGACCCCGGCACAAGGCAGGAGCTCCCCGGCACGCAGCCGGTGCCACACGAGGTGTCCAACCCCCATCACCCAGGGCCAGCAGCTCCCTCCCCGGCTTCCCCCACAGCCCTCCCTCTCTCTGTGCAATGGGTCTGTGGGTGTGTGATGGGTGTGTGTGCAATGGGTCTGTGGGTGTGTGATGGGTGTGTGTGCAATGGGTCTGTGGGTGTGTGATGGGTGTGTGTGCAATGGGTCTGTGGGTGTGTGATGGGTGTGTGTGCAATGGGTCTGTGGGTGTGTGATGGGTGTGTGTGCAATGGGTCTGTGGGTGTGTGATGGGTGTGTGTGCAATGGGTCTGTGGGTGTGTGATGGGTGTGTGTGCAATGGGTCTGTGGGTGTGTGATGGGTGTGTGTGCAATGGGTCTGTGGGTGTGCGATGGGTCTGTGTGTGATGGGTCTGTGCAATGGGTCTGTGGGTGTGTGATGGCTCTGTGGGTGTGCAACGGATCTGTGCAGGTGTGTGATGGGTTTAAGGAGTCTCAGTCAGATCTGGGGCTTTGGGATGGCAACGAAGGACCCCGGCACAAGGCAGGAGCTCCCCGGCACGCAGCCGGTGCCACACGAGGTGTCCAACCCCCATCACCCAGGGCCAGCAGCTCCCTCCCAGGCTTCCCCCACAGCCCTCCCTCTCTCCCCGACTTCTTTCCACATCAGCAAAAAAAAAAAACCAAACCTGAGGAAAATAGCAAAAGCTTGAATGAATTTTTTCATCAGTTTTTCTTCACCATTTGGGGGCTCTGCTGCCGCTTTCTCCCCTGCCAGCTGTTCCTCTCCGCTGAAAAAGAGCTCATTTGTGGTTTACTGCCACCAGTATTTAGATGGAAATAACCCACTACTTATCCTACACTTGATCTCATGGATATAAGAATAAACTCACCGCCGGTGCGATGCAAATCCCGCGCCTTTGGAGAGGAGATGCTCAGACGGTTCGGTCCTCACCACCGTGCCGGGAGGAGAACCGGCTACGCCGGGGGGAGTTTTACCATTTTGTCAGTCAATTATAATAATATTTCTGCTTCCAAATGTTTAAAAAGTTGGCTTCGGAAGGTATAATCATGGCACAGAGGCCAGCCTGACAATAGTAATTAATTAGGCTATTACACATTCTACAGTGATAATTGCTTTGCTGGAAAGTCACCAGCCATGAAAAGGACCCGGCGCGTAAATGTAATTCATCACGCGGCGGCGATCCCGCGCCTCACCTTCAGCCCGGGGATATGGCAGAGGGAGGGGGGGACGAGGAATTAATAGGACATCGATATCTAATGTGGGGAGAGGGAGAGGGAGAGAGAGGGCTCGCCGAGGGCTCTGTGGGCGGAGGGAGAGCGGTTGGTGGCGGGGTTGCCGTTGCCGATGGGCGTTGCGGTGGTGGGGGGAGCGGGGATGTCGCTATCCCAACACCATCAAACTGGGTTTGCTTGTGGGGACGTCCAGCTCCCCCATTTTTAGCTATTTTCTCCTCTTTTTTTTAGCAGGACACGGGTATCATCACCCTCTCATATAGGGGCACAGGGTTTGGCCCAGCTTCTGTGCTAAGAAAGCAAAGATTTAGGATTTTTCCGACAAAACTATGATTTCAGGGCTGATGTGGGCTTTTCTCAGGTGTTAATTCAGCTCGACGTGAGGAATAGCAGCAGTTCCAGGAGCTGGGATGAGCTGTCCCCTGCGCTGCTCCGGCAGGAATCACCCCTGGCATTTTGGTGAATTATCCCCATCCGGAAAAGGTCGCTTGAAAATTTAAAATATCTTATTATTTTTTTTTTTCTGACATTTCTTTGAAGTTTAGTGGGACTCTGAAAGAGCAGAGCTGATGCCTGGCTCACCATCCTGCCGTTCAGCTGTGACGGTGATGCCTCAGCACCAACATGGGCATGATCCTATGAAAGTTTCCCCTTGAAAAGCGCTTTGTCTCTATGATGTGACTTCAGGAGGAAAATTCAATGGAAACAGCCCAGTTTGGAGGTCTGGGCTGGCTCCTTCACGCTGGCACAGGCTGGGGGTGCGCGGTGGGTGATGGAGAACACGTTGGGGCTGGCTCTTTGCTCTGCATCCTTTGGTTGATGCTGTCTTGGGGGTGATGAAGCTTGAGCAGATCCAGGCTCCCCATCACCCCATTCCCCTGCAGACCCCAAAGGGTGTGGGAGGTGGAGGGGTCACAGGGGGGCTGATCATAGAATGTTGTGAGCTGGAAGGGACCCACAAGGATCATGGAGTCCAACTCCTGTCCCTGCACAGGACAAGCCCAACATTCACACCATGTCCCTGAGGGCCTTGGCCAAATGCTTCTGGAATCTTGTCAGGCTTGGTGCCATCAGCACCTCCCTGGGGAGCCTGTTCCAGGGCTCCACCACCCTCTGCCTCAAGAACCTTTTCCTCATGCCCAACCTCACCCTCCCCTACCACATCTTCCTGCCATTCCCTCTGCTCCTGGCATTCATTGGTGGCCAGAGAGAAGAGATCAGCGCCTGCCCCTCCTCTGCCCCTTGGGAGGAAGTTCTAGACCCCCATGAGATCTCCTCTCAGTCTCCTCTTCTCCAGGCTGAACAACCCAAGTGACTTCAGCCTCTCCTCATACCCTTCCCTTCTAAACCCTTCCCCAATGTTGTGTCCCTCCTCTGCTCCCATGGAGCTCCCCAGCACCACCGTGTCTCTGCGTCCTTACACACCCCTGTGCTGTCCCAACGCCGTGTGCCGCCGGCGCCTTTGGCGCGTGCGATGCTGTCCTGCTCCAATACCCAGGCAGCGCCGCGCGCCGTCTGCTCACTGCCTTCCCCCCTCTCTCTTCCCCACGTTATTATTTGGATTTTAAAGCACCCTGAAGCCAAATTTTTTTGCAGAACACAAAAGAAAAGCCCCCAAATTCCTCCTCGGCTGGAAGCAGGGCGCTGAGAAAGTAGGTTTGTGTACGAGACGCTATAAAAAGCCCGGCTTATACAATTTTAACAATAGAAAAATGATCTTTGTGCTCCAGTGCCTGCGAGCTTGGAAGGAGAAGGTGGTTTGTTCAGGTGGCTGCTGGGTTACAAATGAGCCGGTTGCTTTGGGTTTGAGTGACAAGCAATCGCAATCCGGGCTGGCGGGGTGAGCCGGGAGCTCCACCGGCGTGGAGGGAAAAGATGCTCCAGGGTGGGAGCTGCCACCAGGCTGAGGCGCAAAGTTTGGGCTTCGTTTGGTAATTAGCCTGTCGGTGGCTTGGGTGTGGTTTAATTGACCAGTTTGCTGGTGGTAATAGTGTGTCTGCCAGTGCTGAATGCCGGCTTGGCACCTCTTCCTCCATCACCAGTTGGCTCAGGCACCCAGTTTGGATCAAACTGGGAATTTTCTGGCTGGGAATGGGGCATCTCCATCCTCAGCTTGGGCATCAGGGATGTGCAGGTCTATGTGTCCCACCAGCACCCCACCCCCCCCACTGCAAGTGGGGCTGGATGTGCAGGGGTAGCAAAGGGACCCTCAGCAAACAAAATGTGCCGGAGCCCGGTGGGCAGCAGCCCCCGCCCCGGGGTGTCGCCACATCTTGAAAAATTAAGGGCAGTAAATGATTCATGCTCATAAATGTTGGATGGGAGCGCGCGGCAGATTAATATGTTGTTGGGTTATTAGCGATGCAGCGTGCCGTCTCCCCGCTGCCCAGCCGGCACGGGTGTCACCAGCACCCCCGCAGCCAAAGGGGACAGGGACGTGATGTCCTGGTCCTGGCACCAGCATCACTCCTGCCCACGGCACCACCGGAGCCGTGCCATGCCGTGCCGTACCGGGGAGGGTGACTGGGGAGGGCTGTGTGCCGGATTCGGCCTGGAAGGCACAACAACAGGCAAGCTTCTTTATTTCTTATTTAAGCGCCGACATTAAATTATAATTTTCATTTACTCAGAGCACATCAATGATTTAGGGCGACGTGACATGGCAGCGGCGCGAGGAGTTTAGCCCAAGGCAGCGAGTGGCGGAGCCGGCGGGGACCCGTGTGCCGGTCATGGGTGACACTGGTCCCAGTGGCCTGGCAGAGCTGGTTCCCTCCCCCAACCCCATCTCACCTCTTTTTTTTCCATCTCCCTGCAGGTGATTGCACTTAGTAAGAGAAGCAAGGAGGCTGAGACGGCTTTCCTGAGCATTTACAAGCAATTAATCGAAGCTCCAGGTAAGCAACGCGGTGGTGACCTGGCTGCCTAACGAGTCGCGTGCCGGCACCGGTGCCGAGAGGAGCCGACGAGGATCGCGGCATTGCTCCCTGGCACGGCTGGCATCGCCGACCTCCGCTCACGCATGGTGCTCTGGAAATACCAACCGAAGAGAGGATTGGAAACAGCTTTTGCCATCGCTGTGTTTCAGCCCCTGAGCCAAATGCATCTTGACATTAGGAAAGGAATACATTTGCTCAGCCCTTGTAATAACACTGCGGCTATCCCCGCTTGTCTTTTTGACGGTAAGTTCACCGAAAGGACCGAGCTCCGGCTCACAGCACGGCTCCCAGCACCGGCTTTTCCCATTTCAGTGCCGTGCCGGGGTGTACACCCCATCTGGGGTGCTGCTTGAAGTCTTGGGAGGGGGAAACTGAGGCACAGGGCAGAGTTGCTGTGCTCTGAGCTGGGGGATGGGCTGTGCCGGGCATGGCAGCACGGAGCATCCCCCGGCACGGCAAGGATGGAGAGCTGCGAACGGCTGGAGATGCGCAGAAGGGCTCCTGCAGGGCCACTAATTCATTTTCCAGACATTTAGGAATAACAAAATGTTTTAATGATTTCTTAGGGGAATTAGGGAGATATATTTTTGTCCTCATTAAATTTTCTCCTGTGCTACAAGAACCAAATGTCAACTCCGTTTCCAGAACCCAGTTATCTTCCCTCCCCACCTCCCCGCTCTCACCCGCCGTGCTCCTCCGGCTTGCACACGCATGCACGTGCAGGCACACGGATGCACACGCGTGCACACACCCCAAAACTGCTCCCCTGAGACCTCTGCACCCCACTCCTCCTCTTCCTCCCCTCTCTTTGCTCTCCCACAGCACCCAGCTCTGGCTCCCCTGCTCCCCAAACCCTCCCGCCCGTCCTTTTGTCCCCGTCTGTTCCGTGTCCGTGTGTCTTTCGACAGGCGAACTCTTTGTGGAATACTTTACAAGCGCCACATAAGTCCTGATTCGACATTTTTTTTGCCTTGAATGGCTGCTGTCAACACAAATCTCTGGCAGAGACTGTAACGGAGCCTGATTGCTCAGCAAGTATTTTGATAAGTGAGCTGGCTGTGTGTCTGTAATTACGGGAGAAAACCGTAAATCTTTGGGATATTGTTCACACAGATGTGGCGTGAAGGGAAGGGGGGAAGCAGTAAAATGTGTTAAAAGCATAATTAATGTCATTGTTGTTGGGGATGATTTGATTTAAGGCTGCCTTTGACGCGTGGAGGGATTCGTAGGGCGCCGGTGGATGTGTTTGAGGGAGTTGGGATGGGGCGGTGGAGGAGATGCCGCCCCGGTGGGAGAGGTGACGGCACCGTGGATGCACATGGTGGTGCCCTGGATGCACCATGGATGCACATGGGTGCCCTGTGGATGTGCTGTGGATGCACCATGGGTGCCCTGTGCTCCTTGGAGCCAGGCAGCAGCATGGAGCAGATGTCACCCTTCAGCCCCCAGCATGGAGACCTCCACCAAAGGCCAGATCAAGTGGTCAGGCCCTGGTACAGAGGTGACCTGCTGGTCCCCAGGGATGTGGGTGCTCCCTGGAGCTGTGTGTGCTCAGGAGAAGGTGACGAACACCCAGGACACCTCCTGTCCCATCCCACCATCACGCGGGTGCCTCCAGCTGCTGCAGTGGCTGTGCAGTGGTGAGGTGTCCAGAAGTAGGTCTGGACCCCCTCCAGCACGAGAAATACATGGCTGCACCTTGAATATTGTGTCCAGTTTTGGACCCCTGACTCCAAGAAGGACATGGAGGTGCTGGAGCGTGTCCAGGGAAGGGCAATGGAGCTGGGGAAGGGTCTGGAGCACAAGTGTGCTGAGTTCCCTTGTGGCTGAGGGAACTGGGGTCGTTGAGCCTGGAGAAAAGGAGGCTGAGGGGAGACCTTCTGGCTCTGTCCAAGTCCCTTGGAGGAGGGTGGAGAGAGGTGGGGGTGGGTCTTTTCTCCCAGGTAACTGGTGATAGAACAAGAGGCAACGGCCTTAAGTTATGCCAGGGGAGGTTCAGATTGGATCTGAGGAAAAACTTCTTCACTGAAAGGGTTCTGAGGCATTGGAAGGGGTTGCCCAGGGCAGTGGTGGAGTCCCCATCCCTGGAGGTGTTTAAAAGCCGGGCAGATGAGGTGCTCAGAGATCTGGTTCAGTAGTGGACAGGTACGGTTGGACTTGATGATCTCAAAGGTCTTTTCCAACCAGGAGATTCTGCGATTCTACAAAAGGCCCCTGGTCCTGCTCCCTTGTGCTGGGTCTGGGGACACCAGGAGGGACCCTGCCCACCGCCTGTCCCTGCTGCAGCACTGCCGGTGCCACCAAGGGACAGCCAATGACGCCAGCTAGTGGCAGCACTCGCGATAGATACAGATTATTGGATATATTTATAGGTGTAGATGTGCTGTGGGAGCGCATGGAGCGCGCCTGGGCGGCGGGTTCTGCTTTGTGACAGGGACGTGTTGGCACGTGGCTCGGGGTGAGCTGGCTGCACCATCGGTGAGCGATGCCATGGCCCCTGGGCGTGCCGGAGCTGCGGCGGTGGGTGCAGTGACAGAGCGTGCGATGCGCCGAGGTCCTGTTGTGGCACGTGCCGCTCTCGTGTCACCCGGCTGTGCTGCCTGTGAGTCACCTCAGCGGTGGGGCTCGCAGCTGCGTGGGCGCTCAGTTGTGGCATCGGCGCTGTCACCGTGATCCACACAGGGGGAATGTCCCCTGCACGGTGGGGACTGTACCGAGCCCTCCCGTGTGGCTGAGTGTGACAGCACGTGGCACTCGCGGTGCCTCGGTGTGGGCAGACGATGAGCTCGGTTCCGGGTGTATCCTCTCTCCAGCCCTGCAGTGGGAGGGTTTGTTC